ACCTACTGAATCAGAACCCTGGAGTAGGGCCAGGAACGTCTCTGCGCTGCACCATGTTGAAAGCACTTGTCTTGAAGAGAAAGCATCAGAAAAGCAAGTTTGGTACAGCCCAGCGGGCCCAGTCTTGCAGGTGGGCTCAGCTATACAATCAGCACAGAGTAAGAAAATCGACAATGTTCCAAATTACTCTAGAAAGTACCCAAATCCTCCCATAAAGCATGGTACAGTGCAATCATATCTTATGTAAAAGGGAAATAGTGCAGAAACATATTAATGATATTTTAATGTCTACACTAAATAATGCAAGTCCCCTTCCCTCAATTAAAACATATGCCAAGACGGCCATTTCTTTACCCTTTTCTGTGCTTTCCTCATGAAATTGAGACATGATACCTGCAGTGTCAGCAGCCACCTTGTCCCCAAGATGACAAAGCCACACACACAGTATGGCAGGGAAGGAATGTAGGCACCGAGGACACCGATGACATTGCAGGGCCCTTGCACACCCTTGGACTAGCCACCTCTTGTCATTATGTGTTATGTCAGAAAGAAAAGCTCCCTTTACTGAAGCCACTGTGGTCCTATTTTCAACCCCTTTTGTTCCCCAAGGAGGCCAGAGGCCGTGGGGCATCGACTCTGCGCATCTAGATCCCTGTTGTCTTCCTCATCCCTGCCTCAGGGAAGGAAGTCACCAGCCTTTTCCCCAGTGCAGTCATTGCTCTTTCTTTCCATTTCCTTCCTTTACTTAAGTTTCCCTATCTCTGCAAACCCTACTCCTCACTCTAAAAACATCTTTTAATTTTGTCTCCAATTTTCATTCCCTTATAAAATACCATTCTTTTGCTTCACTTCACATCCAAAAGTCTTAGGAGAAGAGGCGCTAGAAGGCTGCGCTCCCCACCAGGAGAGATGAGCAGGAACGCCCGGCCCTGTGGCCACTTTCACTGCTCAATCTATCCGAACTTTTATAGCTTGGACATTGCTGATCGGCCTTGCCTCCCTGCATCTGACCTTCCTTGACTTTGTGACATCATTTTCTCCTACCTTTCTGACCCAAGTCCCAACTGAGGCTATCTAGCATGGTTTTCTATCCCCAGCCGAGCCCCTAAATCACCTTGTTTTTGACACTTTCCACTGTTCCCTCCCTCCCTTACCCAAGGTGGGGGCAGGGAACCTTTGGCGCTCCCTCTGAACCCCCACCATGCAATGGACTTCACTGCTGTATAGTGTCTCCCCAGTCCTACGTAGTAGACACCGTTACCCTCCAAACACCTGCCCTCACCCCATTTTCCTTTACTAATAGAACTCACTTTTTTTCAGCTGTTCACTCCTCCCCCATGAGACCCAGGGATGGCAACACCATTCCCAACACAAGCAGCAGATCCTGACTAGTCTGAACCAAAGAGAGTAATCTCCTTCCCCTTCCCAGTGATACCTTTCTAAATGGACATGCGACCCAATTCTGGGGAATATGTCCGCCAGGGAACTTCTGAGAAAAGTTTTCTTTCTTCTAATAAGAGATGTAGGAAGAAATGGTTCTATTTCTTCCTTTGGATGCTGTGATGTCTGATGTCATGGCCGCAACTGCTGCAGCCACCTCACCTTTGGCCTGGATTGGGTGCCAACGCACACAGAGCAGGACAGATCCAAGAGTATTACAGAGAGGAGGAATTAGAATTCTATGTAATGCACATGACACCTGTCCTACCTCTAAACTATGTTATATTTGAAACAATAAATAGCTTGTTGTTCAAGCCAAAAAAAAAAAAAAAAAACAACAATGCCAAGAATCGCACAATCTTGAAAGCGTCTGGCTGGGTGAGTCCTAAACTGTGCTCTGTCACCATGGCCCACCTTAACTCAGAAACAAACACCTACCATGCCTTGTCAAGATTAGGTTTGGATCATGTAGACCGATCCCTGTTTTAAATGTCATTGCCCAGGATAAAACCATCCGTCGCTGGAGAAGCCCTGCACAGACGATTCTTGCTCCTGCAGCAACGAGGGGCTGTGTCTTCAGACAGGCCCCAGATGAAGTTTCTGCTTAGGGGCCCTGTGCAAACTTACACACTTTATGCTCAAACAGTAACGTCATACTTGATCTGGGGAGATGCCCACATGACAGTATGCTCACAGTAATGGCGAGTCATTTGGGAAGCATGAAATTCACCTTTTTTACTTCTGGCTCACTCCAGAGCATTTGCTGATTGAGCAGGTTGATATCCGGTTGGGAAGCACGTTTTTCTTAGGGGGGCGTGGGGGAGGGGCTAGGCAGACACAGTTGAGTTTTGTGTACAGCACACGTCTGTGATGTTAAGGCACTGGACCCCGCCATAATCAGAAAGCAAGGCAGACCAAAGCCAGAAGACAGAGGGCTATTGTTCATTCTGTCATGACGTTCGTGTCTTACCTGTGGGGTGACACGCAGGTGGAGGCTTTGGCAATTCGGAGCATCCACCAGACGTAGGAAGACTGACTCTCGAACGAAGCCCCGCATTCCCATCGCCCCTGTGCCCTGCGATCGCAGCTCTCACTACCTGCACCAGACCAGGACTGCCCCACAGGCCCGCCCCGGATGGCGGCAGTGCTCTGAGTGCTCCCCAGCAAGGTGGCTGCGACCACACGTGGCTATGATCGCCCGACACGCGGCTGCTGCAGAGGAGGGGCTGATTTCTCATTTTTTTCTAATTAAAATGTAAATAGTCGTGTGTGACGAGGGGTGTTGTATTGGGAAGAACACGCTTTGGCTGAGGCTGCACACTCTGCCTGCCTGTGGTCACATCACCTCACATTCACCTCCCTCCAGGGCTCTGCTCGCCTCGCCCTCCCCCGGCCTCTCACAGCCACCCGTGTGCACGTGTGTGACGATGCAGTTACCAGAGGGGTTTTTTATTTTCCAAAATTATCTACCATAACTTTTATTTCAAATAATAAGTCTTCATAGTTACCCAAAATATCTTATTTGCATTAGAACAAGCACGGGGAAAATGTGGTTCTACTGTAAACTAATCAGGTGTCATTTCAGGAGACTGGTCTGGAAGGTGAGCGAAGGTTGAATGTGAAGGTGATATGACCACAGGCAGCGAGACCAGTTAGTTCCAGGATCAGTCGTCATGGCTTATGTTGCCAAGTCCTTGAAATTCTCACTCAGCCCTTGGACGTAAGGAGTTTAATTTTTTTTTTTTTTTTTGGTCCTGCTAGCATGGAACAGCCTTTGTCATTTTCCCTACACAAACTTCCTGGAAATGGCTAGTCCAAGAAAAATTCACCTTCTTCAAAGAACCAGTACTGGTTTTCCATCTTCTATGAAGATAATCCAAAATAAAAGAAGAAAACAAATTTTAAAAAGATGGCAGTAGAGAGCAGTCATTAGAAAAACACTGCCACGAGTAGATTAAAATCCCAAGCAAACATTACATCATGATTAAAAACAAAAAAACCACCAAGCAATCGCTTAGCAAAAGCTCCAAGCAGAGCTACAAGAGCTCGGGGACTACACAAAAAAAGCCCCAGAGGTCCAAAGGGGAAGGCGGGAAAATGAAGCCGCCCTGGCCATGACATCCTGGGAGAGAGGCACGAGAGGACGGGACCGAGGCGGCAACAGGCAACACAAGACCAAATGCCCGTGAGAGCAGACGGGGCTCGAGAGAAAGCACGTGTTTTGAGAGGCAGATGAAAGGGATCCCCCAGCCACACACAATTGTCTTTTAAAAAAAGGCCCAGAAGTGCATTTAGACGTGATGCGAGAAACACTCCCAGAATCAAATGAGACTTTGCTCTAGAGCAAAATCTGGAGACTGGAGGTGCACACCGTGTCCCCACCAAGGCCAACCCCGGGGCCTCTTCCCTTCCCTGGAAGGGTCCTCAGTGCCCTGCGTGGCCCCTGCCGGGCCTGCGCCCACGCACCCGCTCTGCCTCCTGGGCAGGTCCTGTGCGTGTGGCCGGGAACGGCACGTGGCCCCACTGTCTTAAGACAGGTTCTCATCTGTGCTTTTATGACTGCTGTGTGACTTCCAGGATGAAAAGCGGCAAGACTGATTACCATTCTGAAACCAGAAGCCGTACGATATTTTTACATTTAACAAACTAAAGCTTTTATTTTTAAAAAATCTAGTAAAAAAAAAATTTTACTAGTCACTCAAAATATGTTGTAAAAACCAACTAAGAACGTGACAGAAGCACGAGATCGTGTCAGTGTTGTGATGTGAGTGCCCTCTTTGAATCCCACCTGCTGGTCTGTGTGACACCTGTGTCATCTTATTTGGCGCCACCACCATAGACAGATGCCGGCCCAGCGGCTCCTCACCCACGCAGGCTCTCCTTGTCATAGGACTGTGAGTATTAGAGGGGCTGGTGTGGACTGTGGCTTCCCGGGTGGCTTGTCCCTGAAGGCTGCCTGCGTCTGGCCTACCAGAAACTGAGGACTCAGATTCTGAGAGCTCCGGACACCAGAAGGGCCCTCCCGCTGGCAGACGGGGCTGGCACGGGACAATCGGCAGACTCTGGCTGACTGGGGTGGGGCAGGGAGGAGTCAGGAGACGGCATGTCATGCCCAAGTGTCGGGTCAGCAGGGCCTTCAGGGGTCCCCAGTGAGGGCACGGGTGAGCAGTGATCACAGCGTCCATCCCTCACTCTTTCTGCCAACTTCTTTTTGACTAGAATCACAGGTTCTTGACATTTTACTTGTCCCACTGCAGTGGAAAAAACCTGCCACCTGGGCTTGTCAAAGGTGAATGTTTGAGTTGCCTGGGGCCCTTATGAGCCCTCATGAACGTCTGACTGCTGCCGAGAGCTGCAGTCCGGGCGCCGTGTGGTGGGGTGGGAGGGCCGCGGCCGCCTGTGCCTGACACGTCCCCAACAGCCATCCATCCCTGGGGCTGGTTTCTAACTCGTGATAAGAAGTGCGTTTTCAATACTCTAAGTCATTTTCAAAGGTTTCTAGTGAACGATCGGCCAGAGTGATTTAACACACACACACAAACATTACACACAACAGCAAATGAAGAACACAGTATTCATGTTTATTTCTAATTACAAGAAACAGAACATCAGTCCCTTATTTGTACAAAAATACCTGAAAGTTTACAATTAGGTTCACGAGCCAAGGAGCTATGTACAGAATGAAGCAAAGCACGTGGAATAAAGGTTTTGTCTCTTAATACCGTCCGCACTCCCTGAACACGCTTCCACGCCAGGCCATGCATGGTCACTGCGGCTTACACAGTGACATCACACATCTGTCACTAGCTAGCCCGCCCCTGGAAAGGCGGTCACACTGTCAGGTATTAAGTGCAGAGAAGACAAACATCTAGGCTGAGGCACATGTTTCTTCAAGGTTTAGCAAACAACAACAACAAAAAAGTGTTCTGGAACTCTAACCCTAATGTAACAGAGCTCACCTATTAAACTCTAATAACCAAAGCATCTGGCGTTTTCCTTCTCAGCTTTGTCCTGGCTGCTACACGGAGTTTTCATTTAGAAAGGAAAGTCACAGGCAGAGATACATAGTCAACAGGCTCCAAAACAACCCTGAGCTGTCCCCTTTACATTCATGGCAATTAAATACAAAAATAAAAGTCACTGTCCGTCCGTCCCTGGTTTGCGGGACTTCTCGTTTTCAGGTGAAATTGCCAGCGCCCGGCTCGAGGCTGGGGCCGGGAGCCTTAGAAGTCTACACCGCGCAGGGCGGCTTACATTCTCCAACAATTCGCTTCGCTGGGGAAGTACAAAAGACTATGTCAAACCAGCTACATACAAAACTGCGAATCAGAGTCAAGCTTTTGTTCTCCTTTAAATAAACGCATATTTATAAATACGGAACACTGCAGATACGAGCTGTCTACTGGCGAGGCGCGGCGGGTTAGCACTGATGGCACTGGTCTACATAAACACAAGAGAGAAGTCCTAGAGCTGTTTTCCTGTAAAGGTTTTACCTCAAACCAGTGAAGGGAGGAAAGCGTCACGGCCTAACTGAAGCATCTGTCCCTACAGTGAAGGCGGCGGGGTCGCGCCGCCGGGCATGAGCTTGGGAATCACCGCACTGTCGACTGCTCGCGAGGCTAACTGGCTGCGAAAGGAAGGAAATGCAATGCGCACTTACGGCTAAGAACACGTTTTGCTAGGAAACTCTTCACTTGCACAAGCGGACGTTTCACGGACAACAACTAGAGTGCGGCCTGCGACTACAACGCAGCGCCGCACGGCGACAGACCCCGCCGGCGCTCGCGGGCTCCCGGCCGCCCGAGGCAGGCGCGGCCCCGGCGGCAGCTCCTCAGGGAGCCGCAGCGGCTCGCGGGCAGGCCAGCGGCCAGCACAGAGGAGCCGGCCAGGTGTCGTCTCGGAGAGGACATGCTCTGCTCACCACAGTAGTCTGTGTCTTTCAAGGGAGTCCCTTCTGCTTTGCAGGGGTCAATGGTAAGGAAACGCCACTTGCACGCCTGACAACTCAGCTAAGGGGACGTGGCAAAGGGTGCCGCCCGGGGGCGGAGGGGACCAGGTGGCAACTCGAGCCACCGCTCACTCTCTCCCAGAGCGGGGAGCGAGCGTGGTGTTGATAAGACGCTTCAATGTCCACAGCCACCGTGAGGTACTTCGGACCCCAAGCCAGCGGAGAAGCCTCGGGCTGCGCGCGCGCTGGCCTGGGCTTGTCAGCAGGACGGAGCTCCTCGGGCACAGCTCCGTAAGCGTCAGCCTGTGCCTGTGCCCTCTGCGGAGTTTCCGTGTCTTTATCACCATGGAAACCCACGGGATGCAGCAGGAAGCCAACAAGGTGCCCTCTTCTCTTTAGATCCTTTCATCTCGAGGGACGTGACCACGGAGCGACTCGCGCCACCACAGCAGGGGCACGAGGGCCGTGCTAGAGCAGGCTGCAGGGGCACGAGGGCCGTGCTAGAGCAGGCTGCAGGGGCACGAGGGCCGTGCTAGAGCAGGCTGCAGGCTCCGGACACGCAAGGCTGAGTGCCCAGTGGGCTTCGCGGCATCTACCGCCGGCAGGCGATGGGGCCCGGTGCGTCTCGAGAAGGCGGCCCACAGCACTGTGCAGGCGAGGCCTCAGCCCGCCGGGCGGGGACACTGAATGTCCCACAGAAATAGAGTCTCCTGCACTGTGGAGAACAACACGCACTAGTAACAAGAGGATCTGACATTTGAGTATAGAGAAGTGAGTAACAGACTGTGGACGCTTGACTGAGTCCACAAAACATGCCAAATGCCTACCACGGTTGACACCTTTTATTTTAACAAAAAAGCTTTTCAAGTATACTGGGAAGGGCTGGGTGGTTTGCAATTTGGGAGCTGAATCCACACTGGTGATGGGCTGAGGGTGTGGGCTACCCTCCGGACACACGGGGGCCCACGTGCAGTCTCATGTCTGCCCACTTGAAACTCTTTATGTCCTACATGAGTCGAAAAGCCACATCCCCTCCTACCATAGGCTGAATATAAGATGGAAAACAAAGGAGTGCAAAAAAGTGATCAATACAAAAAAAGTAAACATATCAGTTTTAATTGTCAAGATTAATCCAGGGCAAGAGTTCATTTCCAATCACTTCTTTCCGGTTCTTCTTCATAAGTGGCCCAGCCAAGATGGTCATTCCAGTTTAATTCTCAAATTTGCGCTGGATCTTGCATGCCCTCCTGATTTGGCCGACGCAGGGGGGGGAGCTATCCTGCTGGATTCGCAGCAGCAAATTGTCGTTAAGTCCAACAAACTAGTCAATCTTGGTCGGCTGGCACCGAACAAACCCTCTCACTCTGAGTCCCAGGTGCAGAACAGACGTGAATTCTTAAACAACATACAGACCTCTTCTTCATTCCAGTGTCGCCTTCCTCCAGTCTTCGCCAAGGGCACGTCTGAGGTCATAAGGCCACGCGGGTGCAGTGGTGCTTGAGTTTGCAAGGCAGGACTCCTTTGTTCAGCTGGTAAAAGTCGACCAGCTGGATCAGGTCAGAGAATTTGGTGTTTCCATCATCAAGGGTGAAGAATGTCTGCCCATCATCCTCACACTGGAAAGACACAAGAACACTTGCCAAGTTAGAGGCCATGACCTCAGGGAACAGAGCAGGACCCATGGTTTGATTCCTGAGGGACACACTGGAGTCAGCGAGGTAGGCTAGAAAATGCAGGGCGGGAAGGCTGGGGAATGGCATGTTTGTGCTGGGGGCCGCCATGTCGCCCAGCGACGGGTGTGCCCGGCTCCCCTGCGCTCCGAGGGGGTCCTGGGGTCTCTCCCTTCTCATGAGAAGTACGCTGCCCAGCTAACTTCTAAGTAGCCACCGTGCACGGCACACCCCACAAAGAGCACGTGGACCTAGGCCCTTACTGTATGCCCTCAGGCCACCTCTTTACGCCCCTGAGGCTCGATGTGCTCCATTACGAAGCAACTGTCACATCGCTGTCAGGGTTTAATAAGATCATGCAGGCAGAGCAACCTTCCTAGGTCCTGCAACATTCGGCAGCTGTTTTTCTTAAAACAGAGGAACACCATAGCGTCCCCAAGAAAGCATCCCCTAACACCTGCTGTAACTCAGTGGGTTGGCATTCAGTGACTGCAGGGCAGTGCAGAATGAGAAAGTGACGCTGCCCGTTCACATGGAGTAGGTCAGCTTCACACTGCAGGCGAGTTTTGAACTTGAACTGCTCCTTACCTCCAGAACACTGCTAGAGCTAACAGCCACCCAGCCTGTTTTCACCCACAGAGACTGCAAGTTTGTTGCTTAAGTCCCAAGTTACTGTTTCTTTGTTACTTACAGGATTTGGGGTTATTTGGGAGAATGGCATTACATACTCTGCACCCCATGAAATACTTTGCCATTTTATTTTGTTTTTTAAGCTAAGAGAATTATAATGTGTGTCAATAATACAGTGCAGTGGAAGATCACAGAGGACTGTGAATAGACTTTCGCGTGTTTGATGTGAGGTGGAACCGGGGAGGCCTGGGCCCGCTCCCAAAAGCTGCTCCTTTCTCTTAGCGTGGGGCAGGGCGGGCGGCTAAAAGCCACTGGCCTCGTCTTCCTCATCGCTCAGACGGGGGCACTGGAACAGAGCGGGAAGCACAGCGGAGAGTGTGTGGTGGGCTGCTTCCCCACTTCGCAGAAGCCTTGCAAGACTCCCCTCATGCTGTGCTGGTCCACAGCGTCCTGTCATTACATGATTCTTGAGACTGTGGCCAAGGGGGGTCCAGCGAGCTTGGAAAAGTCCAGGCATGCCTCCGTGAAGCGGACACGCCGTCAAGCCTTCTCAGAGCCTTTGCTTTGCCCACGTGCAGGCTGAGTCTCTGAGAGGAGACTATCTGGTCATGCTCTTTTGGCAAATTATTTCCTGGATCTGGGTTTCATAGGAAACATTTCACGGAAGTTATCATTACCTGTAGATTTTTTTTTTTGAAACAGAGTCTCACTCTGTTGCTTGGGCTAGAGTGCCGTGGCGTCAGCCTAGCTCACAGCAACCTCAAACCCCTGGGCCCAAGTGATCCTCCTGCCTCAGTCTCCTGAGTAGCTGGGACTATAGGCATGCGCCACCATGCCTGGCTAATTTTTTCTATATATATTTTAGTTGTCCAGCTAATTTCTTTCTATGCTTTTAGTAGAGAGGGGGTCTCGCTCTTGCTCAGGCTGCTCTTGAACTCCTGAGCTCAAATGATCCACCCACCTCAACCTCCCAGAGTGTTAGTATTACAGGCGTGAGCCTCTGTGCCTGGTCCATTACCTGCAGTTTGTCAGTTCATTATGTAAAACCTCTGCAATTAATTTTGTGTCTCATATCCCCAGCTAAACTGTGTGTTCTTGGTGGTGCTGATATAACACTCAAATCGCAAACTGGACTTTAAACTTCAGCACACTGAAGGGTGAGTTAAATGTGCGTTAGACACATCTAACAATAATTGCTATGTGAAAAAAGTGGTATTGACTAACATACTCCATAAGGATGTTTTTGGAATTGTTCAATGGCAGAATCTGTCTTTTGATCTAAGGACCACATGGAAGGAGGAACATAATTTCTCTTTGGGGTGAGTACATACCAGCACAAGTCAGAAAATCCCTTGGACGCGAGTGGCCACCTGTTGAATCTGCTGTACAACCCCCGTTGTCCTGACTGCAGGTGCGCACGGCCACTGTGCCCCTCCACGCCTGTCCTCCTCCCCATCCCTGCCCTCTGACCTCGACCTGCCCTGTCAGGTGCCTTTTCAGCTGCAGCTAAGGGGGGAGGGAGGGCTCAGCACAGTTCCAGCACTTGCTTCATTTCTAGAGAAACATGGTTCCAATTTCAAAGAACAAAACTCTGAAGAAACTCTTGAAAGTTTCTCACCTGTGAGCTTCAAATCGTCTGATATTTCTCAACCTATAGTCTTGTTAGTTTATAGCTAGAAAAAAATTGCACTAAGAATGAAACCAGAAAACAAAACCATAAGGATGGGTCTGAAAATACCAATACTTACAGGTAAGATCTGGAAATTTTTAATTTTCTGGTGATGACACAGTGTGAGTACAAACGCCTTTGGATTACTCTGGCTGTCACGGAGGAGAAAAAGCCTGGGGAATGGAAAATAATCACTTGCTAAAACTTTTTACAATCCAGAACACACATACACACATACACACTCCCTAGCCCAGGTGACAGGATGGCCTTGCAGCCTTGAAGCTTTAGAGTTCTGGTATCTGAGTGGCCTCTAGTGGCAACAGCAAACTCAAATTGTCATTCTCCATTGAAACAGGCCAGGACTCCTTCGGGATATGCCTCACTCCAGGGACAAGGGAGGGAAACCACAGGACGGAGCCAGAACATTTTGTGCCAGAGAGTCAGGAAGTACTCAAAGAATAATAGGAACATGTCAAAAAGACACAAGAGGCAGGCTGGCTAAATCTGGGCAGCAAATGAACAGAAGTAACGGACTGTAACGCATAAAACGGGAAGCCATGAGTCCATGCTAGTATTTATAAATAAATGAGCAAATAAATTAGGCAAAGGGAAAGCTCTTCTTCCTTAGAAGAGAATGCCAAGCCAAATAAATAAAGGAATGATGCATTAGAAACTACCCGTGGCAGTAATTAAGGAAAAGACTGTAAATGAATGCTAAAACTAGCAAATGAAAGCTGGATGGGAAACAGAATATTAATGTTTTCGTGGTCTTAAAGTATCATACTCCTAATATTTGTTACAAAGGGAAAAATAGTAGCTTTACTGGTCGAAACCATCTTCATCAAGAATTCAAATTAACACTTCTAGGACTGAGGCAAATGAGCCCTGAGAGAACATGCTGAAGATGACTTGACGTCACTTTTCTGCGGTGGTGCTGTCCAAAATGCATGACCTGAATCTAATCACGAGCACGCTGTCTAGCCCAAAGAGAGGTGCACTCCACAAGACCATGCTCGTAACATGCGTCAAGGGTAGGAAAACATGCTGGGACAGTAGGGTATTTTAGGTCTAAGAAGCTTTTTTCTCACAAAGGATGCAACTGGGACCCCTGGTTTCCTTCCTGCATGCGGGGTGCGTGAGGCGCACACAAGGACTGTGCGCACAGGCAGCAGGGAGGCCGGTGGGGAGCGCCATGAGCCAGCATGGGGGCATCCACATGGGCAGGAGCCAGGGGGTATTTAGCAGAGGGGATGACAGCTAGCTTTGTCCTTAAAAAGACCTTTCTCCTGCAGGTCCTGGGATGGGCAGTGGATGGCAAGACGGGAAGGTAAGCAGCGAGTTCCGTGCAGGCTGGCGGGCACCAGTGCACACACACGCATGCACGCGTGTGCACACATGGTCACTTGCACGGGCAGGGTGGGGAGCTGCACACTAGGGATTTCAGGGACATTTCCTAGGTTTATTCAGGCTTTGATGCCCCTTTCTTTGTTGCCTTGCCCACTCTCTTTCTAACTCTATATATCATTTGAGACTGAAGCTACAGCAAATACTGTTGTGTGACCTGCCAAGAATCTTGTCTTTCAAAGTGGTTGTTTTCACTGTTGTTTGACTCCCTAAATTGGCTTGCCTCCATCATGTCTGCAGGGACCAGTAAAGATCAGAAATGGATTATTTATCTTGTTTTGCAACACATTTCCTCCCTCAGCCTAGGAATTAAGGGACAATGAGCTGTCCGTGTGACAACACCTGAAGTGGCCCATGATCTGTATTTTTGTGTCGTGTTAGCACTCCAGCAGCCTAACGTGGGTGCTGGAAATGACAGCCTTAGGAACAACGACAATTCCAGGGAGGACAGTGATCAACTTCTGCTTATAAATATGACAGATCCCACCAGCAGGGTTAATTTGGGGGAAGAAAGGTAACAGAGGTGACGTTCCCATCTCCTTACAATCTGGGAAGATGGAAGCATAGCCAAGTGGGATTCCACCCTAGGAAAAGCTGAAAGACAAACATTGTTGGGGCGAAAAGGGCTGCCACACAATTCGCCTGGCTGGGTGGTGCTAACCCGCAGTGCACCGCACCCCACCCGCCGCCAGGGGCGGCCGTCTTAATTCAAGGGGCCAGGGTGGGCCTTCTCACAGAATCACTCAGGAAGCTTCTTCAAAATGCACGTGCCCCCCCCCACATGCCCTCCCCTCTGAGATTCGGACACTTCTGCTCCTCAGGGATGCAGACGCGTCGTCACTGCCCCGGGCAGGACACTTACTGGCCACAGGACCTGCCTGAGCCTCCTGCGAACCGTTGCTCCTCTGACAGAGGGCGTGGCCGGGAGGCAGACCAGCTGGGCTTCCTTAGGACGCATTCCACGGCCACACAGTTGACAGGGACGTCCCTGCAACACGCTGAGGCCCACTCTGACACAGCTCGGGGCCCGCCGTGGGTATGGACTATGCTAGAAGCCCCAGGAACAACCACCCCCCATAACTCAAAAATGTCACAGAAACACAAATTTCAAATGTTAGGCTTTACTTTCCTTAGAAAAAGAAAGAAACTTTAGAGAAAAAAATACCTTTTTATAGTTAGGGGAAAAGTCATTTTTAGTGTTTTAAAAAAGATTGCTCTATGATAAAAGCTGACATCTCAAGTATGTACTCTGGGAACAACTTTACAGCCACATGGGAAACAAAATAAAACTAGACCCATTCTTGACACAGTACGTAAAGATAAACAAATTCCAAATGCATTTGGGATCTAAACAAAAATAAAAGTACAACCAAAAATGAACAAACAATGAAGGAAGAAACAAAAAAAGGAAGAAGGAAGGAGGGAAGGAAGGAGGGAAGGAGGGTGGGAAGGAAGGAAGGAGGGAGGGAGAGGCAAACATGAAACACTAAAGAACTAGAACAAACACGAATGGACCCCTTTATGATTCAGGAGTGGGAAAAACAAAAGAGCTTGCAACTTTAAAAAACAGATTAGAAGAATGGGCAAAAGACATAAAAAGATGGTTCAGAATTGCCTGAAGAGAAAGAAATGCAAACAGCCCTAACTAAACACACGGAAAGAGACCCGTCCTCCTGCACGAGAGACGGGCAGGTGCAGCTGTGCTCTCGGGAGCACCGGCTGCGGGAAACAGCCCCTCGTGCTAATTTCTGGCAGGACGACCACGTGGCACAACCCTGCCGCGGGAAACGGGCTGTATTTGACCGTAGTGCACGAGCCGTACCCTTCCACCGCAATCCTGCGTGTAAGAACTCACCGGCAACGGCACGCAAGCAAAGTTATGAAATGGCACCGCGCCGTTTGCCACGACATAAGCCTGGAAACAGGCCAAGTGTCCCTCAAGCGGGGGATCAGCTGAAAGGAAAGACGTTCAGTCTACATAAAAGAGAACTCAGGAATGGACAAGAAGCATAGCCTCCACGTGCTGCTGCGGCAATCCTCAGACAGGGAGGTGGGAGTGCAGCACGGTGTCAGTGTGCTACCTCCGTGTAAGGAATACGAAAACAAATACATTTTGCTTATATGATTAAAAAGAAATGATAGATAAACAAACACTAACAAACCTACCTGGGGGTGCAGAGGCACAGCTGTGCACACAGAATGTGCCTGATTTTATACCATGGAAATGTTTTACATAATTTAAAAAGCAGCATTCAACCAAACAGAAAATAACCAGATCCACTCACAAACATAAACTGAAACAAAGCCTGCCTAAGTAACAGTTTGGTGACAAAACCAGAGAGATTTATTTATTTATTTTTGAGACAGAGTCTCACTTTGTTGCCCAGGCTAGAGTGAGTGCCGTGGCGTCAGCCTAGCTCACAGCAACCTCAAACTCCTGGGCTCAAGCGATCCTCCTGCCTCAGCCTCCCAAGTAGCTGAGACTACAGGCATGAGCCACCATGCCCGGCTAATTTTTTTTTTTTGTATATATATATATTTTTTTAGTTGGTCAATTAATTTCTTTCTATTTTTAGTAGAGACGGGGTCTCGCTCAGGCTGGTTTCGAACTCCCGACCTTGAGCAATCCTCCCGCCTCGGCCTCCCAGAGTGCTAGGATTACAGGCGTGAGCCACCGTGCCCGGCAGAGAGAATTATTTAGAGACTTCAGGCACAGTATTTTAAGGTGACCTTCCTGGAATATTCCTTAAGGGTTAAATGGACTGCAAAGAAATCTCAATTTGGAGTCTTATTGAATAAATATCAGTATTAATACTTTCAAGATGTTATATATGTCTGTTATATATATCTCTGTGTGTATACACACACATATGTATGAATAAAGTAAATAAGTAATTAAGTTGATGCCATTAGTAACTGAGATCTTCAGAGGAAGAGAAAAGAAATACAACAAAATAAAAAATACAAAACCCCTGTAATCTCAAATTTGAATTGGCAACATCAACGTGAACCCATAGTATTTCCTTTTTGGTCTAACAAAGCCCAGGTCCTAGCTCTTGACACTGAAAAGACCCGAAGACTGTGGTCTCCAGATACCATCTGCCACCGGGAAGAATCAGGGCTCCTAAGAGAAATGTGTCACTTGAGCTAACCCATCTTGCCATACATGAAAGCAAACACTGTCCACGCTGGCACAAAGGACTCAGGAATGGACTTGAAAGACCATCAGCCAACGAGGGGCAAAGGGAGCATCAAGAAGGAAAAGAAGTTTTGATTAAAATAAATCAAACACATAAACATCTAAGCTCATAGTGATAGTTCAAACAAAAGCAAAATCAACTAAACACACCCAAAGAGTCCTCATTTGTCAGCAGTGGAAGGTGGCAGACGCTGACCACCCATTATTCTGAAAACTGACAAATAGAGGCAGTGATCTAGCATCTAGCTGCCTTCTCTGGGAGACAGGAAAGAACGTCATCTCACGCATGGGGAATTAGATGACGAGGCCGACTCGGGACCCTCAGCAAACAGGGACCTGGGCAAGTTCCCCAGCGACTGCTGAAAGTGTCAGATGGACAGGGACGGGGACTTTATCAGGGAAGACGCAGGATGGCAACACCGGAACCCACTGCACACGTGTTGTCATGCAGGCGGCAGGAGCACGCGCCACGCAGGGGCTCTGGCCAGGGGAGATGAATCTGCGTCTCATCACGCCTCCGACCACTGGTTTCCAGGAATAAGGGAGACAGAGGAACACGTAAAAGGAAAGAACACATATGTGATCAGCGAACGACTAGCTACTTCAACAAACAAAAGATGGGAAAAAAAGAAGAAAAGAGGAGCGGAGGGAGAGACTATTCTGGACTCCAGGAGACCGCAGTGACTCGGTGCACCAGCCCGATGCAGTTTGTGGATCCTCACTTAAATAAACTGAATTTAATGTAAAGGACTTTTTGGGTGACAGCCAGGGAAATCTGAACATGGATTGGCTTTTAGATGATAGTAAGGAATTTTTGTTTATTTTGTTAAGTGTAATGATGATATTATAGTTATACCTAGGGAAAATGGTTCTTATTTCTTAGGTACACACACTGAAATATTTACTGGTAAAAATTTGGGTAACTAGGATTTCCTTTAAAATACAAGGAAGAGGAGGAGGAGGGGAAGGAAAGTGAGGAGGAGATAAAGGAGAAGAAATCATGGCAAGGGGAAGAGATGAAGTAGATCAGCAAACTGCAGCAGCTGGGCAGCGGGCAAATGGGGTTCACTATACTCTGCTGTCTTAGTAAATTCGAAAATTTCCATAATAAAACTTTTTGTAAGATGCAGGACAAAAGGATTGCTGTTTGAATTTAGCAGCTTCAAGAACCTATTTTTTGAGCAGACATCTGTGTGGGAAGGCTCCCCCATGGAAATGGACCAGGGCACCTAACTCACTCAGCGAGAGCCAGCCTGTGTCTCCTTCTGGAAGCATGGGACCCACCGGGCCCCACTGGCCCTGCAGTGTCAGCAGACTGCAGACTGCAGCTGGCCCCCGCGTCCCTGTCTGTACCCACACCCTGGCAGTCCCTTCCAACAGACATGAGTGTGGCCTGGGATCTGCTGTGGCCAATGGGACAGCAGCAAGAGTGATGCGAGGAGAGGGAAGCCTTGAGCTGTGCGCTGCGGACTGCCCTCTCTTGCTGCTCCTGGGAGCTCCTGACAGCCTGCTGCAAACAAGTGCCACCCGGCACCCCACCACCACTGCCAACGGCCGGCACCGTCCATCAGACACGCGCTGAAGCTACCCTGGATTGCCCAGCCCCAGCCACGCTGGTGCAGTGAGAAGAGCCACTCAACCAACCAGAGCTGAGAGACGTAACACACCTTTGTTGTTGAAGCCACTAAGGTTTGGGACTGTTTGTTCTGAGCAAAAGCTACCTGATACAGTGCATAAATCAAAAGGTGCGGGCAAAAGTTGTTTTCTTTGAATTTGCCCACCATCAAAGAAGATGAAAAAACTAGCTTGTGTTCTTCATCTGCTCAGATTTCACCTACGAGTTAGAGGATATCGTCTGCACAGATGTGGATTAGAATCCCTTTCTGCTCCTTACTAGCTGGGCAAGCCCTGCACCCCACTTATCTTCTGACCCTACGTTTTCTCCCCTTTAAAATGAGGATAAAACTAGCGCCTACTCCGTAAGGATGTCTGAGGACATGCACAGCACATACACCCAGCACACTGAAACCTCAGTACACGACAGCCTGCGTCACGCCGTGCCTTACCCATCCACGAGCCCTTGCTGCTTAATGATCCTGTGGGACTCCTCCCTGGAAATCCTCCCATGAAACCAGTGCTGTGTCCTGTGGATCACTGCGGGGAAGAGAAGAGGAGGGTGGGGTGGCGGCGCCTCCACGGTGTTCCCTGGCGGCACAGGCGGCTCTCGTGAACCCCGAGCCCCCACTCCCATGGATACTCCTTTGGTGGTGCACTCCGGGCTCACGCAACTCTGGGAAGCTTGGGGAGGGCAGAGGGCTGGGGCCATTTGACTTTCTTTAGGTACAAGGACATCAGGCACTGTGCCACGTTTACCTGTACTTAGGGTAGAAGGGTGGAGGGGGCTTTGGCTACCTAGGGCATTCATCCGCGTGCTTCGCTTCTGCAAGAGAAATCCCGTGTTAGCACTAAAGACAACAGACTGACACACCAACAAGTCACCCAATACGTCCAACCTCAGGGCACGGTGGCCGGGCAGGACGCCTGAAGCCCCTGTCTGACCACTGAGAATGAAGAGCTTAGGCGTCTCAGTTGTTAACAACAACACCAAAAATATCCTGGTATATATGTCCGGCCACCTCACACTGCAGTAGAGACGCTTGTTTCCCACACAAAACACATACAATGAAAATGCCAAGAACATCCCGATAAACCTTAGGGTAAACCTGATACACACATAGGCTTTTCTATTTAACTCAAGTAGTTCTCCAAACACTGGCATCTGGAACCCTGTGACTGAGGACACCTCCTTTCTACCCCGTCCTCTGAGGCTGCTGTCCAGAGAATGCTTTCCCAGCAAGAGCGCCAGGCTCATGGTTTCCACGTGGCCTTTAAGCCTCAGGAGAACTTGGAAGCTGGGTGATACTCTTCCCATCTGGAGATTAAAACTCGACCCTCAGGGGTAAAGGAACTGTCAAGGCCTAAAAGCCAGGACGTGAATGCCTGGAGGCCTCACTCAGGCCTGGGCTCTGTGCTCCAGACACACTGACAGTTCCTCAGCAGGACAGCTCCAGCGAGCTGAGGAGGGCAGAGAGCTCCTCCCCGTCCCTACCATGAACACCCAGGGGACAGGGAGGCAGGGGATGGCTGGGGGGGATGTGGAGGGTCCCAAAGTGCCAACTGCTGCCTGCGGCTGAGGACTCTGACGCCCCGCCGCTTTGCCAGCGTGCAGAGGCACTCTTCTGGAGAAGCCGGAGCCCTGGGGCGCCCACCCCACCCTCGAGGGAGGCTCTGCAGGGGCCCGGGCCATGGCCTTACCCTCCAGGCGTGGCCCTCCTCCAGGGCGGCACTCTGGGCTTCGGCCGGATTCTCTATCACGCGTCCTGTTTGCCCAGAAAAGTCCATCGCCACGAGGGAGTTCTCAGAGACACTGCGCTGGAAAGGAAAGAGCACAGATTCTCAGAGTGTAGGGAAGCCAGTCACTGTCGCCTGCAGCGGAAGCACGGCAGGAAGTGATCAGAGACATGGCCTGGAGAGGGGAGAGGGACTGTCCCCACCTCTGAACTCCAGATGTTCCAGGTGGAAAATTCCAAGGCCAGAGGGCCTTTGAGATAAGAATGACTTTGGTCTTTCGTGAAAAGAATAAAAATCACTCCAGTCTTCTCTGAGTATTCAAAGATGGCTGCTGAGGCCAGCTGGTGCCAAGAAGACATGGCCCGTGTGGCCCCTCAGGGCTCCTTGGCCTGCACTAAAACGCGTCAAGGAATAAACTCGGGCCAGGCCTGGTCCTCAGCAGCAGGACGTGCCCTCAGGTGTGTGAGCTCAGGGGAACATGTGGGCTCTTTCTGTGGCGTTATTTGACATCTTTTAAGAACAGACAATAAGGATCTTCAAGATCATATTTCAAGAGGGCAAAGTGCTTCTGCCCGTTTGGGCAGTAAAGCGCATGCTGAGAACACGGGAGCGATTATACTCTCTGAATCCTCACCAGGGAACGACTGGAACTTAAGGGCCAACGGTACCCATGGATCCCATGGCTTGAAGGAACAAAAGCCGGAGGCAGGACAGGCTCCAGCAGCGCTGAAACCTGCTGCTGGCATTCTGGGCACTATAGAGCCACCTACCGCGACAGCCCGGGGGGGATGCAGGGCGGGAGAAGGCTGGTGCGGACGCTGGCCACGCACAGACACACCATCGAGACAACAAAACCGTCTCCTGGGAAGCGGAATGCCGCGGGACACACTGGCTTCCCTGAAATGTGCATGCTCTTTCTGGGGCTTCTCCTGGCCACCCCGTGGGAATCGGGACATTCACAACACTCGCAGACACGGCAGCTGAGAAAGACACTGGGCTTTGGAAGGCGCCAGCGTCACTTACCACTGGCGTGGAGAACGGGGACAGCAAGGCCTTCCTCTGCTGCGGGATTCGGTAGTTCTGGTAAAGGAGCATTCCATACTGCAGGGAGACCAGAGTTAGTCACGGCCCGGAGCCCGAGCGTGGCAAGGGCCACGCCGCCAAAGTGCAGTGGCGGGCACGCAACACAGAACAACGCCCGTCAGTCAGCAGCCCCCATGACCCGAAGTGCAGACGACACTGGAAAACGATATCACGCGTGCTGCCCCTCCAAAGTCGGAAATCTGAGGGTAACACTGACTCCTCTAAAACTTCGCTAGTAGTAGCCTACTGTGGACGGGAAGCCTTACCAGTAACACAGACAGGCAATTAACGCGTATTTTGTACGTCATATGCATTATATACTGTGTTCTTACAACAAAGTAAGCTAGAGAAAAGAGAATGTCATTAAGAAAATCATAAAGGAGAAAACACATTTATAGTACTGTACAGTATTTACCAACACCGTAAGTTTACATAGTTTGTTTACAAGATGGATCGTCTGTCTGAAAAGGAGGGCGACCATTCAATCTTCGCTATACATCAAACAGTTCAAGTTTATCTTGCAATGTCATGACCTTTCTCTGCTTCCTGGGATCACTTCCAGCATCACTAGTGGCACTTCATAAGGGTCCTGTAGGTTTACTGTATTGCGCTAAACACGACAAAAAATACTCGAGAATGTCACGTGGAGTAAAACCTCACTTTACTACAACATGCAATTTGCTGAAGAGACGAGGCAGAGATGATTAGTGTCACACAGCATTTTAAGCAGATACTTGCAACACTTGAGCTCACCACATAGCAACAAGAGGTGGCTACAAAATTATTATAGTAGTGCAATACGTACTGCAGTTAATGTCATGCAGTTATGACTTAACACTGCATCATTACAGTTACTTTCTCTTCATTGCAAACAGTGCGGTGTATGGCCTATAAGTGTTTTGTGTGTAAATTTTGATATATTTTAACTTTTCATAATATATTCATGTATATTTTATGGTAGTAAGTGATAAAATAGATTAGTATCTATATATGTTTTATGCATTCATGACATACTTAACATACTTTTTTGATATTTCTAGGCAACATAGTTTACAAGTTTTTTCAAATTGTTGCAGATATCAAAACATTTTTCCAATATATTTATTGAAAAAAAATCCCTGTCTGAGTGGACTCACATAGTTCAGACCCATGCTGTTCAAGGGTCAAGTGTACGTTCAATATGGTGCACATCTCAGTTCTGTTGCTACTGTTGCCCTCTTCATTTTATGAGCTGTGTAATGAAATTACCCCCTTTTACAGCGAACAGTACCAAAGCACAGCGGAATGAAGCAAGTTGCCCAAGGTCATGGGAACGTGAAGAGTCGGGATTCCAATGTGTGCAGCCTGCTCCAAACCCAGTGCTCTCCCTAGCCCCCTGGCATGCTGCCTAACCAGCTAGTGGTCTGTGCTTCATTTACCCTGGCGTAGGGACTAGGGGTTCTGCAAAGTCTCAACCACACGCAACATCCCAACCTATACTCCTGGATTTCCCACGCAAACAACTTGGAAAAGAAAAAAAAATGAGTCGGAAACAGTTATCAAGTAGGCTGCATCTTCCTCCTGATCTTCCCTTCATGGAATATAAGCTCAATTCCAGTTCTAGGTGTTATGGTATACACTCATTTCTAAACTGAAAATATTTAGAACATGATGAAAAGGTCTAACATAGGTACAACTACGCTCCCATGGGAGGAGAAGAGGGAGAATGGGTCAGAGGAAATACATGAGGAGACAATGGCCAAGAATTTTACAGAATGGACAAAAACATATCAAGCTTCAGAGCCAAGGACAAACAAACCCACATCCAGGCATATCGTGGAAAGATTTCTGAGAAGCAGAGATAAAAAGATGTCAAAAGCAACCAGAGAAAAATATGCATATTTTCACAAAGCAAGTGGAGAACAGACAACTGATACCATTACATAACTAAGACTCGGAGGACAAGGGAATGGATGAAAACGCAGAAGAAAACAACTGCTCACTAGCCTTCTGTAACCATTGAAACATTCCTTCAATAATGAAGGTGGAACAAAAATGGAGAACATTTCTTAGGTCCACATGAAAATAATTGCTAAGGAGAGTTCTTCTAGTCCCAGAGCAAATGCAAAGTCAAGAAAAATTGAGTATATTAACAACACGTCTTAAGGGGTTTTAAATATGTAGAAAATTAATACACATAACAAGAATCCTTCAAAAGGGACGATGGCACAAATGGAGTTGAGGGTCCTTATGCCAGTCCGAAAGTGGCAAAGGTACAACAATAAATTGCATGAGGTTTTTATAAGTTAAAGACGCATGCTGTGATGGCCAGGGTAGCCACTAGGAAACAGTAAATGTGGATATAAGTGATTCCTCATATAAGTAATGGGGAATAATTTCTATATCGGTTTAAGAAACTTCTGGAAGATAGACAGGGAGGAAGGAGGCAATAAATAACTGCTGGAAGTTTTAGGCCTCCCTGCACAGCCCCATAGTGAGCAAGAACTCACTTAACAAAGGACGGAGTGGAAGGAAGTGAGGAGCGAAAGGTTCCTGCTGGCTCTATCTGCTGAGCGCCTTTTTGTAAAGCTCAGGATGCTAATGCTAGTTTCTCCTCTGTCGGTCCAAGCTATAAGATTTATTTTTCTAAAGAAAGTGTAACTGCGTGGATACTTACCAGTATAAGGAGGTCCTAGGTTAATTCAAAATAACAAGGCTTTCCTTCCCAAACAGCCCCAGGAGTTTATTACAATCAAATTTCCATTTCCATGTTGCCCACGCCCACCCATCACCCACCATACAGAAATGATAACTGGGTAGAGCTGGGGACGGTCTCCATGTTGACTATGCCATAAAACCAGGCATCCTACCTGTATCCTCCACTTCCCCAAGGTGAGGACACCGAACATCTGACCCACTTTTAGGGGACAAGAGCGTCTGAGCAGCTAAAGCTGACAGGGGCCTCTCGCCACTTACTGCAGACAACATCTTCACGTCAACCATGAAGACACAGCCCGGGGCTTCCCCGTCTGTGCTGGCGAGTCACCGTGAAGGCCCAAGAATCAGACTCACCGAGGGGGATCCTGCAGCACCCTTAGTCCAACAGGCTGACTCTGGCGGTGGCAGTGACATCCAGCAGGCAGGAGGCACATACGGTGCCAAACCAGGAAAGATCAAGTCCAGAGACCCAAGTTTAAGTTGGCTCCCACTTCTGCCCATTCCGTTTTTCTGAGGATCTACTATGTGCTGGGCACTAAGCGGTCCCTGTCCTCAAAGCAGATGCTGGGGGGAGCCAGACCTCCCAACAGGCGCAGGGCGAGCCCGGGAGGCGGTCTGAGGGCCCCTGCCCAGCTGCACTGCGGACGGCTGTCCAGCCACAGCCCCTCGTGGCTGCCACCTCCCTGGTGAGGAGGTCAAGACTGACCATGGACTTGAGTCAATGCTCACATCCAAGAAGGGCCTTGGGAAAGAAGCAGGGACAAGAACAAAGGCATTTTAGGTTTCCCTACAGCTTCAAAAGACACAAGTCTCTGAACAGAACACCTCATTTTCCAAAGGCCCCGTGCAGGTGCACGGCGAGGAGGCCCTGCAGGATCTCATCTCCTCATTATGCCTTGCCCCTCTCTGACAGGGCCCCGGGAGACAGGGCGGGGAGGGGAGGAGACGCGTAAGACTTATCAAAATGAACGGCCAAGCCGCTGACCTTGCGCTGCCTCTTAGCCTGCCCAGTAACAGCGACAGAGCTGAGACCAGAACTAGTTAGGGCAGAAATGTGCAACTCAATTTTCACCTCACCGTCCCAAAGGCCTGTCACGGCCACATTCCTATTAGGTTCAGGCCCCCAGTCTCCAAGAAGAATGGCACTGGACGCATGTTTAACGCCTTTGAAATCTGTAGATCCCTGATTACAAAGTGCCACCTGCAAGGTGGCCAGGGCAACAGCACTGCATCTGGTTCGGATTTGTAACTTCCTGGTGGCTCTCAAGGAGGGCAGCAAAGCGTGGTAGTTAAAGGGGCTCTGCATCCAAAATGCTGGGGCTCTAAGCCTGGCTCTGCCACAGCCCAGCTGCCACACCTGGGCCTCAGTTCTGTCACCCGTACCATACGGATAAGGACGACGTACACATCCCCGAGCCGTCGTGAAGGGAGAAGTGATAAGGAGTGCCTGGCACAGTGAATGCTCAAAACGTGTTAATATCATGTAGCACACTGTTGTCAAAGCTGATGATACAGTCAGATAGGATTGTCACCGCCCACATCCTTTCCTCTGGCGAGTGTTGGCACCAGAGGAGTGACACCTCTTTTTCACGCATCAAACAATGGTTAAGCACTTGCTACCCAGAAATAGCCAAAGTAATAAAATCTACAGCTTCACAGAGAGAACTACCACTGTCCTCCTCCACTGCCTTTCTTGCCTCTTCCAAAATAGATTTGCAAATAAAAAAATAAAACACATATATAAACTTTAAACGTTTCTCTCTGGCCTCTGCCATTTGCACGGTGCATCTCCTCTCTCCTTTCTTTCTTTCCTCTTGCACACAATGTTCACGTGCACACCAGCAAACACAAGCACCGCAATTCCCCCAACCAACTTGGCGTACTCTCTGCATAATGTGCTGCACTTTGCTTTTTAGTTGTTAATAATTTTTCCACAACAGAACATAAAAGCAAATTAGTATTTTTAGAGCTGCAGAGTATTCCTCTCAATGGATATCCTGTAACTTACTTCATGAGTTCTCACTGATGACAGACTCAAAATTAGTTGATGAAAGAGTAGTCTATGATCTACAATATCTCATGCTAACACCAACATTTCCTCTTTGGTTATGAATTAGTAAAATTTTGATGTTAATACTTTTTTATCAGTAGAAAAAAAATAAAACAACATAAGGTTCTGAGAGAAAGAAACAGGGCGCCTATCTGTGGGGCTGATGTTCTGTGGCGCCGTAGGAGAGCTTTGAGCTGAGCCTCCTCTGGCTATCCACCTCCCTGGCTGCACCTCGCGTCTCTGGACCGGCTATAAGAACACTGCAGATCAACGCAGAATGGGAGCTGTGCAAAGACCCCTAGACCACTGCATGCACAGGCCACGGCTGGCCCATGAACGTCTCCTCCAGAGACCCCTGGACTTTAGCCAAATTCATCTCAGTCAACTAACTTGCAACCCACGTGGACTGTAGAGATATAAGTGATTCTAGACACATGGGACTCCGTGTGTGCACAGAAGAACGCGGCGTGGGAATCCAAAGTGAGATCCACTGTACTTCACGTTCTCAGCTCCACCAAAGTGATTACAGTAAAGAGCTGTAGGAAGTCACTTTGGCAATTAGGATAAAATTGCTGTCAAGGGCATTGTCCCCTGTGGGGTTCCACGTAATAGATTTCTTTCAGAACTTGCAGTCAGGAGACACTGTCTCCCCTGAGGACTACAGTGACTTATAATTCACCATGTCTCCCTCATGGCCTCGGATTTTGGGAAGCTGAGAGTCTTGCTCAGCCATGAGGATAATTAACCCCCCTCAGGTTCTATTTCCTGTCTCCTTTTCTCCCTGGTCCTGATTTTTCTAATCCTATTCCTCTAACTCAGGTTCGAAACCAGGGGCAATTCCCCACCCCTGGCCCCCAGGGGATACTTGGCACATTCAGTGACATTTCTGGTGGCTTCAGCTGGCTGGGGGTGCTGTTAGCACCCAGAGGCTGGGACCAGGGATGCTGCGACATGTCCTACAATGCGAGAGATGCCCTCATCCCAGTGTCAGTCGTGTCGTGCTGGGAAACCTGGCTCTAGCCTTTTTAATCTTAAGCCCCCTGTCAGCAGCTCCTGAGATCTTGCTTAGAAAGATGTGCAGCTGCATTTGATAAATAAAATACTGAAAGAGCAGTGGCAAAGCTATGGGCATCTTCCTGCCAGAGAGGACGCCAAGTCCAGCTGCCGGCTCACGGGCCGCACGCCGTGAGCACCACGCACCTTGAGGAGCCTGAACGCCGTCATCCAGCACGTGCGTGTCTGCTCGTCCTCCGCACAGAGCAGCCTCAGCTCTTTAGTTTCATTCCTTACTTTGTTTGGCTAAAGGAGGTAAGAGAAAGTTGAATGAGCGCAGCAGTGGGTCAGAAACACGCCCGTGTCAAGGCAGGGCCACATCGGGCACTGGCAGGGACATCGGCTGGGCGTCGCCCACTTGGGGAGCCTGGCAGAAGCACACACCTTTGAGACTAAGGGCAGCCGGCCCAGGAGCCCCTCATGGGCTCGCCAAGGGAGGAGGCCCCCATGGGGCCCAGGACAGAGGTGTCTGAGTGGCCCCAAGTGGAAGGTCCAGAGAGCGAGACCACGTCATCCCTGGGGCGGGAGACTGAGGCAGGCCCTTGGTGAGGGAAGAGGACTGCTGCAGGGCTAGACCAATCTGGGCCTCAGCCAGAACCTCAGCCCAGACTCGAGGGACAGCGGGGGCGTAGGGGGATGCCACCCCAGCTCTCCACCTTGGGAATCTGGAGGGACATGAGTGACCACCCAGGCTGGCCCCTGTCAGCAGAGAGGAACAGGCACGGCTGGCCTGGGCCCTGGGAAGGGTGGGCTGCTGGCTGCCCGGCTCATTACTCCCAACCAAAGCACCTCCCTGGGCAAGGTGTAAGATGGTGTTTCAGACAGAATTTTCTCCTGTTGCAGCCCAAGAAGGGCTCCTGTGACCCTCAGCACGGGGCTGGGGCTCAGAAGTCAGCCCACTGGAGTGAACTCCGAGCACAACCACCCACTGGCTGCCTGACATGGGCCCTGTGGCCGACTCAGTTCCTGTCTCGCAAGCATCCATGAAGATTAAACAAGACAGTGGATGTGAGCCACTGCTGAGCATGTCGTGCACAGTGCGTGCACAGTAAGTGTCATCTACCATCATGGCCCGCCAATGTCACCAGGGGAGGGGCAGGCCCGGCCCATAGGTGTGTGCACATGTGCATGTGTGCGCGCACATGTGTTTGTGCACACGCACATAGGCGCGTACGCCATCACACACACGCATGGGGAGGGTGGGCAGCACTGTGATTACTCCATATGTCACACAACCAGAAGCCCACATAGAAGGCATCAGCTCACTCAGTACCATGGAGCCACCCAAGGTGACAGGCTGAGGGTCCTCTCCCCTAACCTGCTTCCTCCTCCCACTACTGCTACTGGCTTCAGCCACAGCCTACTCTGGGGGCCAAAAGCCACTGTCCCTAAGACACTGAAAGCTCCGACATTATCCATCATGTGTCTGCTCTTCCTCTAGCCTCTGAGCTGGCCAATGATCAACACATCACTCAGCCCGCAGCCTAGTACCTTTATGCAGAGCCCGTGGTCCGTGGGCGCGCTGTACTGCTTTTTGCCAGAGATCAGGGAGAAGATGTTGCTGTCCTCCAGGTCGGCCAGCAGCTGCAGGTGTCTGGGTTCCTGTGAAAATGTCGCCAGGTTTAAGTGCAGAGAGTAGGTCTCAGGCATAGCTAACAGCAAATGTTTTCACGTCTTGGTCAGGAAAGGGCACGCCCACAAGCACTGACATTTTAGAGGTTATAACCACAGTGTGAAATATGTGCTAAATTAAAACCAAATCCACCAAGCCCTCGCCTAAAAAACGCACCTCCCAAATTCTCAGACAAAAAACTGTGGGAAGGTATTTGACGCTTCTGCCAAATCAAAGCCCTAGGACCAAATACTCAAGGTAAAAACCAGGAGAAAAATCTGCAACCTAAAGGTCAAAGTGCACACTCTCCAACGCAGGGCCCATCCGCCTTTGGTGACTTGTGTGTTCAGAGTCCGCTTGTACCTTCGGTTTCCCATTGGTAGCTTGTCCCACCCATTGCTCCTTCAGTCCCCAGCCCAGTTCTGTTTCCTGCTCCAGGATCCAAACCCTCCTGGCTTTGCATGTGCAAGGGCAGTGAGTGGGCCGCAAAGCAGAGCTGGGAGGGCAGGATGTCACCCTGCCCTGCGTTGGGTCAAAGCCCCTCTCTGAAGATGCTGGTCCTTCTCTCTGGCTCACCCAGCGGCAGCTGCTGGCTTCCCAGAGCCGCACTGAGTGTGCACAGCACCCTCATGCGGGAGCCACCAGCTCCTCCCTGCTCTCTGTTGGCCAGAGCAGCAGGGACCACAGCTCTTAGAAGGTAAATGCTTGGCCAAGGCTGGCAGGACACGGCTCTCATGGCAGGGTGTACACACACAGTCACATGAAGAGAGTAGGTAAGAGTGTGCAGAGACCAAACAAGACCCTGGGCTAAGCCCACAATGCCACCAGCTCTCTTTTGAGGCCTGTTTTCCATCTCTCAGAGACTCTTCTTTCTCACTGGGGATACATGAAAAACTACAACTTATTCCATAAAGTATGTACAATAATATATGTTGCACTGGCACCAGGTAGGCAATATTCTATAAGGCATTCTTATGGCTAGCTTGGATGCCAAACTGCGAGAACCAAATTAGTCTCTGAAGGGGCCGTGCAGCCAGGAAGGTCTGCCCCCACCCACGGCGGCCCAAGCCGGGCAATCGGGGTTCCTAGGCCTGCAGTATCACCCCGTTTCTGAGGCCAACTAGGAGACCGGGGATGCTGAGCTTAGCTATTCCACAGCTAGCTTAATAATAAGCTATCATGAGCTTGGAAGAGCCTAAGGTGCACTTGAAAATGAAGCCCAGGTTCACTCTGAGCACTCCCAGCCCAGAGCGGCTGGGCCAGGATCAGCGCTGGTGCTGGCGGGTGTTAAAACTCACCTTTGAAGTCCCCTTCGTGGAGCAATAAAGGCCTGAACGTCGCAAACACACATACAGCTTTTTCCATGATTTCTTTCCCAGCTCTTTCACATGCAAAAACCCTTGAATTTCAGGACAGCTACTGGAGTTCAGAAAATTCTGTTGAAGAGCAAATTTTAAAAATCAGACAATGCTAATCCAAAATAATTACAGTGAATATGTTACCAGCACAGCTGACATTTTCTGAACTATTAAAATATTTTTTAGTCAAACTGAGAATTTTCTCCTCTCAAAGGTCTTAAAATCCCATCTAACTCGGTGTTGCATAGAACATATTTAATAATTAGTATTGAAACACACACAAGCAAATGGACCTAACACTAGTGAAAACACAATGTCATAAATCCCTTATAAGACAGTACATTGAAGGGCTGCCCCTTACTACAGCTTTCCATAAAATAGCCAATCTGATCATCAGAGCTAGGCCAAGAGTGAGGGCTAGGGGCAAGTGATTAGGGTGCAGTGAAGTGAGAGCGAGCGGCCAGTAGGCACCGTGACCAGGCACCTCTCTATTCGAAGGGCATGCAAGAGAGAGGCCTCGTCTGTCTGCACAGGATGGACCTGGGGCGCCCTGGTGGCGTCCTCCAACCCAGCTGCACAGGCAGCCTTAAGAACAAAGGCTTTACTGAAATAAAAACAAAAAACAAAAAGCCCATGCTTTGCTGTGGGAAGAGGCCACGGAGCCAAGTCGAGGAGGTGACACTGGCGGGTCCTCTGACTGGACTAGGAGGCGACAGAGCTCCTGCCCTGCAGTGGGACGGGCAGGCCAGACACGGCCCTGATGCACCTGGGTCCAGTTCTTCCAGGGTCTAGAGATGGCGGCACGCCCTCACAAGGTCCAGAAATCCTCTCAAAGTCAAAGCAGTTACAAAGAATTTGCCATCTCACCGCTCGCTGTGCACGGATAACGACAAACGGCTTCTGACAAGACCACCGAGACAGAGCTATGAAGCTCTTATCTTTGAAATGGTGAAACATATCTGGTGATAATCAGGTAGAAAAAGAAAGGCTTATGGGCAGAATTCTGCAGGAACTAAATTTTAGTAGTTTTTCTTATATTTGATGCCACCTGGGTGTTGCTGGTTGCCTTAGAGAAGGGCTGGCTCTCAGTGAATGCGCACACAGACGCGTTTGCGGGCTGCAGCGGCACCGCTCCCCTCCCCACTGCCCACCGCCACCGGCAAGGAGGGCGAGCCTCAGCACCCAGCTCCGGAGCGCTGGGCTCCCTCACCGGAAGGGGTGCTGGGGAGAGACAGGCTCTCCTGAGCAGACTTCAGGAAGCAGAGGGACAATTAAAACAGGTTTTCTTATTTTTAACGCACAGTAAGGCACTTTACAAAGGACTTCACGGCAACACAATCATTTTTTACTGCAAAGCAGACTCAGCACTTTTGCAGAGTGCCCACAGCGGGCAGCGGCCTGACCAGGCAGCCGGGCTTCGCCCAGCCTTGGCCCACACCGGCCACAGCGCACCCTGGGCGCCAGTGCTCGTTTTGCTTTGAAGGAGCCCAGCTGAACATACATTTCCTGCATAAACTCTTGCTTCTGGGTCTTCCAAACTCCATTAAGGAGCTGAGGTGAACACTGACTAAGGATGCGACCTCTAGGTTTTACAACACTGCCATATCAGTTCCAAGAGGCCTTCTATGCACAAAGCCTATTTCATCAGCAGAAGTCGATGTTTGCCCAGTACCTGCAGAAGCTGAGCTTGACTGCCGTTTGACTGCTGGCACCAAGTAACCATCTGTTCTGGGAAGAAATTCTAAGGAAATGAGAAAAAACACAGCCGTTTCAATGGTTAGCTTCTAATGGGGGCAAAGCATACTTACAGATATGTCAGTATTAAAACCACTCCCACAGGTACAATGACGTGCATTTGTATTTTAAATGGTAGTCCTGACTTTCCCTTATCACACAGTGGAAACGCTACTGAAACGCTGGATCCAAGGCTGGAATGTCTATCATGTTTCGTACAGGACTTGTGTCTCGCGGCATGCGCCACCGTGCAGAGAGGTGCCAGAGTTACAGCTCAGGGGCACGAGTGGGTGGCATGAGAGACGGAATCCTTGAAACTAGAAGGTGGGCACACTTATGTGGAAAAGACTTCTCTGCTGCATTACCCAAAAAGAGTCCCCAAATTTCTTACTTTTGAAAACAAAGCAGCTAAATTATCAGAGCCACAGGTGGACCTGGGTCTTTTCCCCAGGTGCGGCTGCTCTGCCCTGAGACGCAGGATGAGGGCAGGTGCTCCTGAGGTCGCGAGGCACCTGCCTGCGCTGACACCCGCAGCGCCTCTGCCACACAGAGAAGGGGGACGGCCCCGCAGCCTCGTCAAGGCACTGGCCAGTCACACTGATTGCTCTACTCATTCTTCTACACAGAATCACAAAATGGTATTTGCTGTTTGCAGAGAACAATGATTTTTTTTCTTCTGCTGAGCATTTGATCAATTTGTTCCCGTTAAACTGGGAACTTTCAAAGTAACTGAAAAGGCCTGGCCTCTCCCGACTCAGAGACTAACCCTTTCCATGGTTACTATTTGAGGAAGGAGACTACGACCTCCCACCAGTCAGGAGGACACTTAGTCAAGCGCCAGAGGCTAGGTTTGGAGCAAGGACTGCTTAGTTAAATAGCAACTCTGATTTTTGTACACTACTTCATAAATCTCAGTTACTTTGTAATCTGAAACCATGAAACCCAAATATAAACTTCAGCTTTCAAGAGTTCCAAACCCGAAGAGATAAGACTCACCACGGGATTCTTGAAGAACTCGTACTTGGCGTAGTTCTTCCTGAATAAGAACTTGCTCTCGCCAGCCATGGTGCTCTCGACCTGCACCACCAGCTCGTGGTCTTCCAAGCACCGTTCTGCAGGGCAAACGGCACGCGTGAGGCGCAGGGCAGGCGCCAGGGCAGCTCGGCAGCCAAGCGCAACACCCGACTCTCTGCTCTTTAAGCATTGTGAACGAAGACGAGGGCGAGAACCACACTAAGTGTGAATCTCTCCTTCACGCACTACCAAATGCATAGGAGGTCTTAAAATACACAGCATGAGGAATTCAGGTCTACGCTTACTTTTATTTACTTCTTTTCAAGTTGGTATTGACAAAATGTTAAGGAGAGAGTCAATAAAAACCGTTAGCAAATAATTTTGCCCTTAAATTAAGGCATTTCAAGTCTTGCAAAAACCAGACTGTAACAACTGGGAAAATATTCAAAGACTAATGAAGGAGGAGGGACTTGTAAGATGTAGGGGAAGGGAGAGAGTGTGCAGGTGGAAGGTGACGGAAGTGTTTTCATTAAAGGACACTTGGTTGCCTGACTCCGCGTGGGGGAGGAGGCAGTGACACGTCACTGAGGCGATGTGTGCAAACACTCGTCCTTCACGTTGAAGCCCGCACTAACCGCACCGTGGGATAGCGCTCATCCACGGCGCTGCATGGGAAGCAGAGAAGAAGGCACACTCCCTAACACAGCACCCATCGTGCGCACGCACGCACACACATGTGCACACACCTCAGAGCATCCTTTTAAGCAACATCACCATTCTGGAAAAGTTATTTCCTTCACTGCTTAAACACTCTGGTTCCATGCAGAGCGCAGAGAAGCTGGCACGCCCCAGAACAGCGTGTGCTTGCAGAAGCCGAGCTGCTCTGCTCTGCTGCTGGGCAAGCCCCTTCCTGGGCACGTCCTCAGAAACGACCCTGACCCCGACCCCGACCCCAACGTGGGGCGGTGGCCACAAGAACTCAGCCATATTAAGTAACTGCATAGACAGGAAGGGCAAATCTACGGCAGGGTCAACGTGTGTACTGAGGCCACAGCAGAGCAGGTGAAGATGCTGCAGCACCACGCGAAGGCGTTCCTGAGTTATAGCCCGACTCCCTTCCTGCAGCCAGAGGGAATCTCCAGAAAGTCTTACCTAGGAAGGGAGGGGTCAAGTTTAGCGCAAAAGCATTTCTGAGTCAGAGCAACCTCAGAATGCGGAAAAAGACTTTCTGCCCACAAAAGACCGCTGTCGCCATGGGCGCTCATCCGACGGGCCACGACACACACGGAAGCAGATTCCGGAGACAGTCTGTCCTCAGCCTCGGTTTTGCTATTGCAAGGAAAGGTCCTTTGACAAAAACGTATTTAAAGCCACAGTTTGTGAAGAAAAGGAATTTTCTCCCCAAGGCTGCCAGAAAGCTCACACCTGGCACCACTAGCAAACTCGGAACGGTTCCCGTAGGTTCCTGTCTGGGGAGGGAACTTTGCTAGCAACACACGAACCGAAACACAGACCTTCTGTTTCCCCGTGACAGAAAAACAGAGAAACCACGTACAACTTGAGCATGCAACCAAAACTGCTATGTTTGTTTTCAAAACAGAGATCAGGCTCAACGTCATTCATTTAAAATGGATTTTCCAGGAGGAAAACAAATCAATGACTTCCGTTGAGATTTTTATTCAGAGAAAAATTTCTCCATGTAGTTACAGGAAACAACAACAACAAAAAACAAACCCCAAACCAATGACCCAATAGCCCACTGATTTACCGAATTAAAATGTTTTAGTAGGGAAAATAAGGAGAAATAAAAAAGGGAGGTAACAGCTATGCAAGTGAGGATGTCTTCTTCCAAAAGCAAAAGGCATTCTGTCTCCAAAGAACCCAGCGGAAACCCAGAAAGCACTCCTGGGGGGCCACCTGCCCTACGGCCACCAGCATGCAGACTCCCAGCCTGCCGCCAACCCTTCCCGTCTCCCTGCACCTCCTCTGGGAATACTCTGGAAAGCTGCACACAGCAGGAAATGTCCTTGGCAGTCAGACCCCAGGTGGACAGGTGAGGGTTCGGAGCCCTGGGACCAGGGGACTTGGGGTAACCAGTGGACTGCCAAACCTGCCTATGTACCCTGGAGGGTGGGTGCTCCTTTGCGACTCCGGTCACTCTGGTGACTGCAGAGGGGCCTGGAGCCCCAGAGGTGGGTCCCAAGACAACAAAACGCGCTGTATCAATTCCCTTTTCCTCACTCGGCGCAAGTCAGGAGACTGTGGACAAAGTGGCAGGGAAGTCCCTTCCCCGGGGCTCTGAGAGCTCAGGCTGCAGCCGCACGCCCCTGCACTCTGGCAGTGCTGCTGTCAGATGACAGGACATCAGCTCCAAGATCTTTCGTCCAGTGTTACCTTCCTCATGAGTCTAAAGACCTTGGGTGAGTGCACTAAACAATCACACCACCATCTATGAACTTCGTATTAGTACAACGGCCCTAAGTACAACGGAATGTTACTTTTCACCATAATATTCCAATAGTAATTTTGGTACAAATGGAAAAGGCAAAAATTCCTGGAAAGACTTCCATATTTTTCAAATTTCTGAAACTAAGTCTGGCATCTACCCTACTTCACAAGAAAAATATTTAAATATTGGACAACTTAAAAAAGAGAATTTTACTTCTTTGCCTTAACACGTGGCTGGCACGTGACTCGCAGCAGAAACCTGGGCGCCCAGCGTGGCAGTGCAGGGCCGAGCAGAGCCAGAGCCAGGAGCCCCAGAGCCCACGGGCTCCACCGCTGGCCTGACACCTGGCTGCGCCTCAGGCTTGCTGCCAACCAACCTGCTGCCACACCCCGCCGTCGGCCGACCGCACATGTGCACGGCCCACCCAAGGAAGAGAACGGGCTGTCCACCAGCCCAGGGCTGTCCAGGCTAAGAGGCTGTAACAGACAGCACGTCTGCAGAGAAGCACCCTGCCTCGTGGACGAGCCCTGTCAGTGGCCTTCTTTCTATGTGTACATTCCAGTGGGGAAAGGACATCATTTGGTGCTTTTCAGGTATAGTGGACAGGGAGACGGGCAGGGATCAGCCTGTGAAAGCCCAGCGTGAGCCAGTTGCTCCTCCCCGACACCTTTCTACGTGTTCCTACACCTTTCTATGTGTTCAGAAGCCAACACCCAAAAGTGCCACAGCTGCAGGACCCCGAGAGCTTTTGCCATGGCATTGTTCATCTGACCAGCAACAAACAGAGCTGTAAACTGCCCGAGAAAGCTTTGTTGCTTTTCCCGAGGTGTTTCAACCTAGTTCATGAGACAAGACAAGAGAATTCCTCAAGTCCTTGCAATTCACGGGACTCGGTGGTGACTTTCTCTTTACTCTGCTCCCTGTGTGAGCTCCAGCCTCTCCCAGATGACCTACCTTTAGCCTCTTGACCTGGCGCCCTCGGTTATTCAGGGCCAGGGTGCAAGAGCCCTGGACACGAGGTGCCCCCACACTCCCAGGCATAGGGTTTTCCCTCAAACCCATTTGAAAATTCAGGGGGACACCAAGATGACATTTTGTAAAACATCCTTTAAAAAACAGTTTGTTCACGTGACATGTCTGTAGGCTGTTTAACATCATTAGTCTTCTCTCTGTATGTGAAGCCCAGAGACCTGCAGCTCCTGTGCTTGGGGCAGAGGGACGGGGACGCCTTCCTAAGGACCTGCCCCATCCAGCACCCCTAGCTGGACTTGTTGAGTGGCTCTGGTCAAGGACGGTACTGCCAATGCTGGGAGCTCTACTGCCAGACACTGAGGCTGAAACATGCCAGCAGGCGGGACCTGTGGGCAGTGCCAGCACAGGGGAGAGCACGCAGAGGGACCGGCGGACTGGAGCAGGGGCACTGGGCACCACAGAACATGCTCCCCTGAGATCCTCAGCCCTGGGCTTTTCCACCAAGGCAAGAGCTCTGTGTCACCTTTCAAAGTTCCTGAAGTAGTGAGTGCCCTCAGGAGCTGACACTGGGACGAGGAAGGGCCATCTCACCTGGCTCTGGCCACAGGAGGCCTCCTCTGCTTACCCACCAGCAGCGTGGAGAAGGCGGGCCAGATTCCCACCGGCCGCAGACACTGCCTTGCCAATGGCGGGCGGCCGGCACCCCGAGGGCCATCGTGGAGGCTGCAGACACCAGCACACAGGTGGCACTTCTCCCAGAGGAAAGAAAAGCACCTCCTAAGGGCTATCTTGGGAACTGCCCTCACCTTTTCTAAAGCCATCACTCCTTTCTGAGTGTGGAGCAGGCTCGATGTCATTACAGGTCTAATACCTTTATCTAAATTGAGTATCCCTTATCCTAAATGCTTGGGACCAGAAGAGTTTTGGATTTGGAATTTTTCAGATTTTGGAATATTTGCATTACACTTACTGGTTGAGCATCCCAAATCCAAAAACCTCAAATCTGAAATGCTTCAATGAACATCAAGTTGGACCCCAAAAAGTTTCAGATTTTTGAGCATTTCAAATTACAGGTTTTCAGATTTTTTCCTTTGAAATCCTCAATGTTGGTGGCCATACATAAAGTAAAAGCACACCAGAATTAGGTGCCCCGAGCCCTCAATGATCAGGGGTGTGGGCTACAGTCTGCCGTGGTGTCTGCCTCATGGACTGGGAAGCACTGCCTACATTTCTGCTCCAGCCACAAGCCGGGCACATGTCCACGTCCCTGCGAGAACACCCAGCGCCTCACTATCTAAGAAAGGACATTTCTGCAAGAGACGGCAATGCCTGCAGATGTGGGGTGGGTGGCTCTGCCCTGAGAGAGGTGGGTGTCGAAGGGCCCAGGAACACCCTGGGACACCACCCCGGACAAAGAGTCCCTTGCAGGCGCACGGCGCTCCAGCCCCGTTTCCGAGGCCCCACGCTGTCACCTGCGGGCGTCTGAGCGCCCCGCATCGCCGCGCTTGCCTGTGCTGCGCTTCTGAGGGCCGGGCGTCGCCCTGTCACGTCAGGATAGGGCTTTGGGTTACACAGCGACTTAACTGATTTTTTTTTTTTTTAATTAAATGCTAGGCCTGGGTCACAGACACAAGAACACTCGGAGAAGCTACGGACTGGAAATGAAGAGGCCGTGCGCGCAGCGCCACGCAACCCCTGGCTCTAAAAACGTGAAAATCCTCCGCGCAGCCAACAGGAAGGTGTGCCCATCGCTAACGAGAAGGGAACTAGTGGAAAGCAAGAAAACAGAGGAAGAACGTTCTGAAGGATTCCACGCCTCTATAAAGCCTGGCTGTGTGAGCGTCATTCATTTCCTTTTGTAAAATAGGACCCAAAATTTGAGCCAAATGTTCCTTTTCCTTTTATTTAGGCATTTCACTTGCTCCCCTCTTTTTTCCCCTTTTAAACTTATTTCAACAGTGTTATTGCCCTTAGAGTGTGTTAAGTCCATCTATAAATTTGAGAAAAAACAAATAATAATATTGTATCACTAAGAATACCGAGTACACACGTGGATGTTTCTTTTTCTACTCCCTCAGAGTAAACTGTTCTTCATTTGGGTGATTATTTCTCAGGTTTTCACACGTGATTTATCTACTGTGTGACGTTCTAGAAATCAAGGGGTATCACAAGAAATATATAAATCAAAATTCCTTAAGTCTTTCTTGTATGTTAAAATTTTACATGTATCTGAACCCATTTTCTATGTGCCCTAAGTGTTCAATTATATTTGCATATTAAATATCTGCACAAGTCCCTTCCATAGTTATTTTCAAATGAAAAGAATATGCAGGCTTTTGAATGGGCTTTCAACAATAATCATCATATATGGGTCCAACTAAACAGATTCATTTCTGAAATTTTATATATATTTTTTCATATATAGAATATACATGTACATACACACACTGCTCAGGTTTCCCACTATGGTTTCATTTCCAAGTTGTCTGTGTGTCAACAGGTGCTTCTGGCAGCCTTACAGACCAACACAGGGTCCACTCACGACGTCCTGAGCTGGAGCTTAAAGGACCGTCTCCATGGGAACATCTGACAGCACAGCCACTGGCTGTGGACCTATGCACGCACCTGGCGGGAGAAAGCTGGTGGCGACAATGGAGAAGCCTTCTGTTGTCACACAAATGTGCCTGCCATCAGTAGAGATGGGTGAGAAACTGCACGGTTCTACCAGATTACAGTAAGAAGCGTACCACGGCCTGGAAGTACAGGCAGAGCTGGAAAACCGTGATTTAAAGTAAGTTAACTCAAGTTAATAGTGCGTCGTGTAGGCTTAAATTGCACCGTATCAGCAGGGAGAATCCTCAGCTAAATGAATATTCCAGAGGTTTGAATTTCATTTATTAATCTTTCAAAAAAGGTTCATGAGAAAAATTTAGAACTATGAAATGTTCACAATCTGTGTCGTTTTACTCTCCTTCAAAAACATGGAACATAGCTGTTGATTTAGAGAAAACTCTGGTTTTAAATACTTGCCAATAATTTTGTAAATACCACATTTTATCCCATATGAATTTAAGCAAAAGTCTGCTGAAAGCTTCTTTACCTGAACTAGACTCCCGAACAAACAAAACAAAGCAAAAACCTCAATGTGTTCTATAAACAGCGATAAATACTTTCAAGTGCTCCATGATATAAAATATGCCCTTGCGCTCTAGGCACAACACGCATGCACACACGCTGCCCAGGCATTCCTAACCAGCTCCGACAGACGTCATGGAAGGCTCAAACTTAGATAAAACTGCTTTATGATGCGTCCGGTTCCCCGTGGGACCCCTGCCTTGGCTGCAGCCACCATCTGGACCCTCCTGACCCCAGCCCACAGGTGTGCAGCAGGCCCCACATGGCTCTGAGCCACTGTGTCTGAGCCCCTGGGAAGTTATTGCTTCACTCATCCAATGCCAGACCCTCAAAGCACCAGAGGGAGAGGGCTGAGAGGGAGGAAAGTAAAATTTTCGTAGAAAGGGAAGTGGCAGGAGAGTCAAGTACAATGCAGAGCCTGCCTGCTAGTTTGGCAGGGACCAGTCACATCTTTGGCATTTGGCAGCAGGGGTCTGCATCTGACAGCACACCGAGCACCCTGTGGCCGTCCCTGCCCCGCACCCGTCCCTACCTAGTCCCAGGTGCGGGTGGTGCTCCACTAGCGTCCAGCTGTTGTCATCCACGCAGTGACTTTTGTACACCAGCAGTTGGCACAGGTCCCTGGCTGTCATGTCCGAGAGAATCTCCACCACTTTGCTCGTCCCATCTTCACTAAAGACTTTAACATCCTGCAACACACAAAAGGGACATTTACAGATAAACAACTCAGGGTCTTGAAGAAATGAGAGCTGAAACAAAACAATCAGGAGCCTCTGACACATGAGCAATTGCTTGTCCGAGCAACCAACGGGTCCCGCCCACTGCAGTGAGGCAGGACGTGGGCCACCGGGTCTCCCTTTCCTCCTCCCTTCCCGCCTCCACGGGCAGAGCAGGTGGGTTCGACATCCTCACAACACCCAGATGCCCCACGGGAACACACAGCACTGGCCAAACCATTTACCAATGACCTGTCTTAAGAAGTCACAGGATTCATTTAAAATGCTGCTGGTGGTCTCAGGGCTGGAAATTTTACAGTTGAACCAACTGCAAAAACATGGAAAGCAACAAAAAATCCCACAGTCGCCCTCTTTCCATCGTAACTTTTGACGGCTCCATGCACTCTCTGCTCCGGACTCAGCCGCCGGCACCCATCGCCTTTCCTGTGGGACCCGACCCCCACAGCCCCCACGGCACAGGTGAAGCTGGATAAATTAATAAGGCTGGAGTTTAAAATGGTAAAAAGAAGGGCACAATGAGAACACAGCCAACACCCCTCGGCCCCTTGCTCCCACAAAGTACGAGTAAGCTTCACCTTCCTGTACCGCTCAGATCCGTTAGGACCGAACTGCTCCTAGGCAAAGGGGCAGTCGAGTGGCGTTCAGAGGATCATGAAGACAGCCTGCCTGAGCCACAGCACTGCAGCCATGCGGCTTCCAGGCGATGTGGCGTGCTTTAAACCCTACCTCAACAGCATGGCAGAGGCAGTTGGAGGAGCAAGATGGCATTTAAATCAAGACTGCCTCTTGCAAGGACGTTTGTTCCCATCCTTCCACCATCCGGGCTGGCTGTGCCCTGGCAGGAAAGCCACTCACCCACCCAGCAGCCCGCCAGGCTCCCAGGCTGCCCCACACGGGTCCCCCAGCCTGTGGATCAGACCCCAGGCAAACAGCTGCACCCCCTCCTTGCTCCCCTACTTCCACGCACCGGAACCGGCCTGGGGGTGGGACGATGGTCACGATAACGACACAACTTTCAAACGAATCGGCCAGGAAAGTCCCGAGAATCTCCAGATAACCTCTGTCCCCACAGCTGACGCGCCAGTGGCACCCTTAGAGCGGATCCTCCGCCCAGCCTTAAACGTTGGCTTGTCCTGACAGTCCCCCTCCAATGCTCCCTGCTCTCTCTGGGCCCTGCTCCTGTGTTCCGAGCGCAGCGCTTACTTTGCTTGAACTCTGCTTTCCGTGGCGGGGGTCTGACGGCAGAGGGCGCGGGCTGGGAGGGATGCCCGCTGCGTCAGAACGGACCGCATCATCTATGGGATGGCCCGACCCTCCCACAGCTGCCGGCCAGCTGTCACCCTGTGGCTGGGAAGTCGCCCACGCCACTCTAGCCTGCAGCTGCCAGGTCAGGGGGCTGCAGCGGCAGCAGGGAGGGCCCTTCTCTGAGCAGCAGGTGGGGCTCCTAGGATAGGGGGACTGGGGGACCGCCCCTCTCTTAGCCACTTCCCCAGCAGGGAGAATCCCAGGGCTGGGGCTAGATCAGGACTGAGGGACTTGCTTTCAACTCACATTCACTTTTATAGAAACCCACTCATCTCTCTGCTGGAATTTATGTGTTACTCAGTGGAAGTATTACTTCCACCCAGCAAGTGAAATATTCAAATCCAGTTGGTATAACTAAGTCTACAAAAATAATATTTAATTTAAGCAAGAAAGATATGTCTCTCTTCTCTAGGTAACTTTATTAAAATGTGCTGACATAAAGGAAAAACAGAAGTCCAGAAAACTGATGAATTCACACAACGCCTCGCAAATGCGCTAACCCTGGCCGGCCAGGTCTTCTGCACGGGCTGTGCTTTGCGCCACCACCGCCAGGTCCGGTGTTCTGTCCCTCCTGCGTTTCTAATTGAGATTATCTGCAATTACAACAAACACAATCTTCTCTAGGAAAGTAAAATCATTTTGAAGTGTGTGTTCCAAGCCTCTCCAAGTCCACGTACCACATCTTCTGCCCGAATCGGCCACGGCACTGGCTTTCTCATTTTCGTCGCAGCCCTCCTGCGCTTCTCTTTCTCTCTCTCCGTGGCCCCTGGTGCTCCACGGCCACCCACCAAAGGTCTATACACGGTGAGTATCAAGAGCTGAGACGTGCTTGGTCACACGCCCACTCGGCTCCTTTTGGACTCCACAGAGGCCAGCCTGGCCGGACCCCGAGGGGCGGGGTGGGCAGAGCAAGGAGCCAGACACAAAGGCAGGCAGCCGCCCTCCCGCCACTCCCCCGAGCTCACCAGCGCCCTGGACCACACAGGAAATCAAACCTCACCACAGAACACCGAGAAAATGATTATACACTGGGCCGATGCTTGGAGCTATGAATGAGAATGCTTGTAATGAATGTGCAAGGCACAAAGGCTCCTTTTACAGGGGACAGCCCGCCACTTGTCTCATTTAGTGACCACCTGGGTAGTGCCAGCGGCTCAGGACAGCAGCCCTGGGCCTTCCTGTTCAAGCCCCGTGCACAGGGCGGGCCCAGAAAGTTCTCCTGAGCAGGTCAAAGCCCCTGCCCCCAGCAGCTCACAGCTAGCAGGGAAGATCGCTACCACAGGCAGTTACCTACCAGTCTGTTACGTGCCTGAGGAATACAGGCATCTGGAGAATACCAGGAAGGGGCGGGGAAGCCGGACACCCAGGGTTCCATCCTAGCTCTCTATTACCTGTTGAACACGTGCTGCACCGGGGGCGCCGCTCTGACCATCAGTCACGTGCACAAAGCACCGTGCTCAATGCACAGACGCTCCAGCATTCACTCTGACTCCCCAGGCGCAGGGTGGGGGTTGCAATGAGGAGCACTCAAGTCAGACTGGGTCCCCACCCTGCTTCCTCAGTAACTAGCTATGGGAACCTGGCTGAGATTCCCAGCCTCTGTGTCTCAGTTCCCCCACGTGAAACGGGACATGCGGTAGCACCGGCCTGGCAGTGTGAGCATGATGTGGGTTAATGAGACACTCTCCTGAAATGCTCCCAGCCACCTGCGCCTGCCCTCCCTGGGATGTGCTGGATCTAATACGGATCTGGGAATGATGTGGGCTCCAGCTGAGAGGGTGTAGGGGAAGAACCCTGACCCTGCTTCCAACTCTGGTTTCCAATCCTGAGATGGAAAACCTCAGGACTGCTAAGACGCAGCAGGGACAATTCCATCACAAGAGCCAACCCCTAAATCCTCAAGTTCCTTTTCTCCACTGCAAAGAAAACTAAATGGCTAATTGCTTTTAAAAATAAAACTAATATTAAAGAGGGTATAATTATGTCAACAGCATAATGAAACTCTCTTTTTGGAGTTGGAGGTGAGGAGAAAGGCTTTGCCAAGCTACCCAGCCCCCTGTCTGGTAGCACTGCATACTGGCATAAAATCTCTGCAGTGGTACAGGATGTGCCATTGTTCCCAGACTTTCTGTTGCCACTTTTTATACATTTTTATATACATATACTTTTTATACATACACTAACTGTATACAAGGAAAAGCAAGAGCTTAACTTTGCAAACTTAAAGAAGTTTAAGAACAGTAACAGTTGAGGGTATGCACCTCCATGCCCCCAAACTCTACTCTGGGTGCCTGGCTTTTGATTGGTGGCCCTCACGAGGTAGAAGGCAGGGGACCCTTGGGCCCTCCTGCTGTCAATCTCACTCTCACTTCACGTGACGGGCAGACCTTACCGCTGCTGGCTGACCTATAGGCTTAGGCAATCTCATTACTAAATTCAAAAGATCTCTTGACTTTGCCTGTGAGCCTTTGCTAAAGGCTCATCAAGAATCACCTGGTAAAAATGAGCCTGGCCTCTGTGCAGCACCGACTGACCCAGAGTAGCTGAGGTCCACCCCACAGAGACCTCCCAGGGAGTCAGAGCTAGCAGCTCCCGGGCTCAGTTTTGTTAGTTCTTCTTCCCCCAACTTACAAAAGCTCCCTTAGGATGTAAACAGGGCTTTTCACTAACTCCTGAAGTCTCTTGTAAATACAAGTGGGTAAACATTTTGGAGATGCCAGGCTGTAGCCGAGGGAGGTGTCCCCAAGGGCGACTGTTCAAAGCAGGCAGACGTGGTGGAGAGACACGGACAGAGCCGCTCCGGGTGGGGTGCCTGATCCCGCCTTGCTGCTCGAGCCCTTGCGGAGAGAAAGCAGGAGGGTCCCGCGTCCAGGCAGGCGGAGGGAGCCCTAACTCCGAGGTAGGTGTCACTGCTCCCTCTGACCAGAGCAGAAATTTTTTCTGGAAGCTTGCCTGACATCAAGGAGATAGAAAGGACTAGAGCCAGGATCCGAACCCAGGGCTCCTTGGCTCTGCCTGCCTTTCTTCTCCAGTAGCAAGCCACTCCCAGCACCTCGGAATCTTCCCTCCCAGGAGGCTCCAAGGTATCACGCAGAGGCCTTTTTATTTTTATTGTTTTGAGGTGGGGTCTCACTCTGTTGTCCAGGCTGGGGTGCAATGATGTGAACACAGCTCACTATAACCTCACACTCCTAGGCTCAAGTGATCCTTTTGCCTTAGTCTCCTGAGTAGATAAGGCTACAGGCAAATGCTATCATGGCCAGCTAATTTTTCTATTCTTTTTAAAGAATGGGTCTTGCCATGTTGCCTAGGCTGGTCTCAAACTCCTGACCTCAAGTGATCCTCCTGCCTTGGCCTCCCAAAGTGCTGGGATTACAGGTGTGAGGCACCGCACCCAGCTTTGAAAAGGCTTTTGATTTAAGGGCCCTAAAGCCCTCAAATTGGGTGGGTCCTGGAAGCCTAGGAGGTTTGGGGATATGTTAAATTTACTCCAGACTAGGGCAGAACCAACCAGGGCAGGTTAAGCTAATCTTAATGAAAAAGAATATAATTCTACCAATTTTTTTTTCTGTTCCAAATTAACGGTGTTATTTTTTGATATACGGGATGCTAACTGGAATGCTGCACATAATTATATGGCTCTACTC